ATGTAAAAGTCACAAAAGTTAAAGCATCTGTGATCTACTGGTATAAAATGTGAGTTCTGCTGTGTGCCGTTGTGTCCACTAAGCAGCAGGTACAATCGAGTAGTTAGTTTTTCTCCTTTTTCCTTTTGATGAGGAGGTGACAGCTGTGGATCATAGCATTACAGGGAAAACTTATCTTTAAAAGCTCACGCTTGCGTTTGTAATCGGCATTTCTAACCTGAGGATATTCAAGAGCCAGCATCAGAAATGAGAAGATGGAGGTTACAAAAGGGAAATGTACATTTATCCCCCTTTTACTGACAAGACCGGGAGAGGAAAGACCACCTCCACACGACAGCTAGCAGGAAGCTAACACAGCAGCTCTTTCCAACAATATAAGTGTCACAGCTCYACATGAAAAATTCGCCGAACAAGCAGCCAAGGAATAGCAAAAAAGGCTAAATTCTGGAACCATAAACACGAACGTCTTTCCTTTGTTTTTATGGCTTTAATCCACTTTGGAGTGATTTTTTTTCCCCCACTTGGCTGGACCTGTACGTCTCCTGTGTTGATGTTGGTACTTGTAATATGCTAATTCTGTACTGTGGAGATCATTAAGAGTCGTTGTCGGGTGAAAAAATCTTTTGCTAACGCTGTGTTGACCATGAACCGGAAGTGTTGGGAGTGGCATCAAGTGCTGGACCGATGTCCGTGGCACATAGGCTATTTGAACAATCCTGCAGAAAAAGGTTTTTTTACAACGATGGCTAGATTTTCTCACATGTTGTGTGTTTGAGCATATTTTATTTATGTGTAGTAAAAAAAATCATGTAAAATTGATAAGCCCCTCCTCTCCTCACCAGAGGCTGTGGGAGAATCAGGCTGTAGAGCTCAGTGGAGCTAAAGTCTTATCAGATCGAGCTGCTGGTTCAAATGTTGATTCAGCTATACAAGAAGCCTTGCGTTGCTGAGGCATTGTGTGTCTGTGTGTTTGTGTGATTGTGTTCAAGTTCTGTTAGCCGCTAACATGCTAATAAGAAGCTGTAACAGACAATCATGCTATGCTAGCTGCTCCAACCTCTGGCTGCTGCAGGGGCTTATCTTAGAGAGAGGCTTTTATATCAGAGCACGGCCGCTGTGACAAAACCGTGGAGAAGACACGTCATCATGGAGAAACGTTAGCTAATATTACTAATAATACTAATATAACTAATTAGACTGCAATAACCACTGCTCAAGCCATAGTATGCAGCAAAAAGACATTTTTTATACCAAATATTACAGATTTGAACAAATACGCACAAAAACATCTAAATTAGCACAGAAATTTGAAAAATATTAGATCATCACAATGATGTTTTGATGCTGGAGCCCGGTGTGGGAGGCTTGGAAGCTTGCAAGTTCTGTTCAATATCTTAGCTGTTGGTAGGATTGCACTCCTCTGTTCAGAGATCTCTGAGGTTTGTCCTTGGATCTGCTGGACCCACTCTTCCAATTTGGTGGTGTGATGACCACAAGCACCACTGAAGCCTTGACTCTCCACAACATTTCTGTTCTTCTATACTTCTTCAGATTTTTATGCTTCTTCTTCCTGACATTACAGTCACTTGGGATTGCTACATCTCTCACCACTGCCTTCTTGTTGACCACCACCATGTCCAGTTGGCTAGCCATCACCTGTTTGTCAGTAYGGATCTGGAAGTCCCTCAGTATCTTAGCCCTGCCGTTCTCAACTACCCTTGGTGGCATCTCCCACTTTGACTGTGGGACCTCCAGTTCTTGGCACAGATGTTCCTTATTATTCCAGGCACTTAGCTATGTTCGACGTATGTTTTGCCTGCCTTTGGTTTAGTCACAAGACTTTTTTCAATTTTTTAAGGTTTGAATCCCCACAACCAAGACAACAAGACTTCTGAAAGCAGGAGCAGTATGAATGCAAACACAGTTGTTCGTATTCTTGGCACAATGTCAAGCATGTTCTCAGTGCATGTTGGACTCCGCCAGGGCTGTCCCTTGTCCCCAATCCTGTTTGTAGTGTTTATGTACAGGATCTCAAGGCACAGTCGTGGAGAGGAGGGTGTCTGGTTTGGGGACCACAGGGTCTCGTTTCTGCTGTATGCAGATGATGTGGTTCTGTTGGCATCTTCAGTCCAAGACCTTCAGCATGCACTGGGGCGGTTCACAGCCGAGTGTGAAGCGGCTGGGATGAAAGTCAGTTCCTCTAAGTCTGAGGTCATCGTTCTCGACAGGAAAATGGTGGAATGCCACCTCCGGGTCGGGGGAGAGTCTCTGCCTCAAGTGGAGGAGTTTAAGTATCTGGGTGTCTTGTTCACGAGTGATGGTAGGATGGAGTGGGAGATGGATCAACGGATTGGGGCCTCATCCTCAGTAATGAGGGCATTGCTTCAGTCAGTCATTGTGAAGAAAGAGCTAAGTCAAAAGGCAAAACTCTCGATTTACTGGTCTGTCTTCATTCCAACCCTCACCTATGGTCATGAGACATGGATCATGACCGACAGAACGAGATCCCAGATACAGGCGGCCGAAATGAGCTTCCTTCGTAGGGTGGCCTGGCTCAGCCTTAGAGATAGGATTAGGAGCTCCATTTTCTGGGGGGAGCTCGGAGTAGAGCCACTGCTCCTCCACATCAAAAGGAGTCAGCTGAGGTGGTTCTGGCATCTGATTAGGATGCCTCCTGGACATCTCCCTTGAGAGGTGTTCTGGGCACATCTCACTGAGAGGAAATACCGGGGAAAATCAAGGACTCGCTGGAGGGATTATGTATCCTCTCTGGCCTGGGAACGCCTTGGGGTCTCCCAGGACGAGCTGGAAAATGTCGCTGGGGAGAGGGATGTCTAGGTTTCTCTCCTGAACTTGTTGCCTCCACGACCTGACTATGGATAAGCGGAAGACGATGGAGATGGAGAGATGAATCCCAGCATCCCACAACCTTGGTTACATAATGAGTGAGAGACATTGAAATCAAGTCATACTGGTTTGAATATTCTAATGAGAAATGGGCTATTAGAATGTAACAGCGTTGGATTCATTAGTTAGTAGGGTTGGAGCAGAGACATGTAGAACAGGCTGGAGAGTGGTCCCAATGACCATTGGTTAGGAAAATATGGGAGCTAAACTTTTATTATTGGTCTGTGTTGCTCTAACTTAACTGTGTTGATATTTAGYGCTGACATTTAACAATGAAAGCTATTGTCAGACATAGTACAAAATATATTTCAATCTAAAAACCTCCAGATGATTGGTGAACAGTTGGTTTCTTACAGTTGGTGATAAGTTTGAGCTATAGTTAAAAAAAGTCAGGTTATTTTAGTTCATTATAGAGTCCAAATCTGCAGCTGAATTCCTTACAAAGTTGATAAACCCACAAGCCATTAGTCTTAAAACTGAGGTCATTTGAACTAGAGTGAACCATCAGCAGAGAATCAAATAAATATGACCGACAAGCACCAGAGCCGGTTTTGCTTCTAATAGCAGCTTTAATCGTAGTTTCAATGGAGCAACATTTGAGCAACAGAGCCGTGCTCTAACATATGCAGTGTATTGTACAATGTCCTTGTCGATCCTTTTTTATTTGAAGTATAACACACAATACAAATACAGTAAAACAAGAAATGAGTGGCACAGAACTAGCTACAATGCCTTTGCTCAAAAACCTAAGTAAAAGCTGAAAACTTCTTAAAATTATTCAAATTCTCGATGTTTCACCTTTAAAAAATGGTTTCATGCATGTTGTCCGCTTGCCATTGTGAAGACAGTCAAGAACTGAGACCCCTGAACAAACAGGGACCTAAATGTTTGTTACAGTATTTTTTTTTTGTAAACTGAAGCGATGTTCATCTCAAGAAATGATCCCGAATCCTGTTGAAGAACTCCTCGATTCACACAACATGCAGCAGAGTCACGTGGCGTCTGTTACCATGGGAGACGTCCAGTCACGCTAATCTGCACCCAACTGCCATGTCGTACCCCAGACGGTCAGATGAATGCGCTGGCTTTTCAGCTCCGTTTCGTGGCACTTTCATTTTTACTCTAATGAGCACTGAAACATAGCCTCAGCTGACAGGTAGCAGCACTTTTGACTTTCTCTGAGCCGTGGCCTCAGTTCCAGTCACTTCAAAAACAGACATACTGCAGTGTCATGAAAAGTCAACATAAATTAGTTTTTTTAACAGATACCTGGATGATTTTAGAATCACTTTACGGTTAAATGGCAAAGCTGGTAGAGTGGAAGCTGATGTATTCACTGAGCTACAACACTTATGGTAAAAAGTAAGTACACCATTTCAGTACTCAGGCGTTTAGTATCAGGACATTCTTATTTGTACCTTAGTACTGAAGGATGGTGTATTGTTTCATTGGGCTGTGATCATTGGCAAATAGTTAGCAACTCAAAATTGAAAGAAAAAAAAGTACAAATATAGACAACTTTTCAGCTGCAGGAGCATTACCAGTTTGCCATGCAGCCATGCTTCGCACAAACAGTTTTTGTGTGCCTGGCTTGTGAAAATGTATTCTAGACCATAACTGTGATTTTGTTACCTCCACCCACATTGTGTCATCGGTGGCCTGCTTTGAATCCACATTAGCAGCCACTCCCATGTCAACCAGAATATACTGCACTTTTGAAACGATGACAGATTTGAATGTTTTTTTTGTATTTTTTTACTAATTATTATTTATCATTGGTGTGTTATTTACTCCTAGACATTCAAGGCTGCATTATTTCATAGAAGAGATATCATACATGTGACAAAATAGAGCTCTAATGTTCTACAATTTATAAAAACTAAATTGAGATGGATTCAAGATGCCCACATCAAAATTAAGAAGAGTTTAAGGCGCTCACAACAAACCTGATAAAGGTTCAAAACATTCATAACAAAATAGAAAATGATTTGAGATGGGTTCAAGACACCTGCAGCAAATTTTAAAAGGGTTGAAGTCACCCACAACAAATGGGTTTAAGTTGTCTGCTCTAAATTTGACAAAGGTTTGAAATAGGTTTTAACGCCTACAACAAAAATGAACAGGGTTTGAGACAAGTCCAATTTAACTGGGAGTTGAGAAGGGTTCAAAACGCCTGTGACAAAACTGAATATGGTTTAAAGCACCCACAACAGATTTGAGAGGGGTTAAAAATTGGTCTATGCTGTCTGTGAAGGGTTGAGAAGGGTTTGTGATTGGTTTGAGAYGATGGCAACAAAACTGAGAAGGGTTTGAGATGGTTAAATATGCCAACAACAAAGTTCGGTAGGGTTCATAGTCCTGTGACAAAATTAAGGAGAGTTTAAGGCTCTTGTCACAATCTTGAGTAAGACTAAAGATATCAACAACAAATTTGAGAATGATTCAAAATAGGTTCAAGATACCTGCAACAAAACTGAAAAGGACTTAAGGCACCTACAACCAATTTGAGCAGGGTTCAAGAGAAGTTCAATTTGCTTGTGAAAAAGAAGGGTTTATGATGGGTTTAAGACACCCACAGCAAAACTAGGAAGGTTTCAAGGTACTAAAGCTGCCCATGACTAAATTGGGAAGAGGTCAAGATGCCCATAATAAAACTCGGGGGAATTTAATGTGCCCGCAACAAAACTAAGAAGGGTTCTAGACACCTGCAACAAAACAGTAAAGGGTTTAAGGCACTCACAACAAATTCAAGGATTTGAGATGAGTTAAGAAGCCCATAGCAAAATTGGGAAGGGTTCAAGATGTCTGGGACTAAATTGAGAAGGGTTCCTGGTGGGTTTGAGGTGCCTGCAAAAACACTGACTATTTTCAAAGAAAGTGTTTTGGAATATTTTTAAAATTCAAGCTTCAACATTGCAAACTTCTGTGAGTCATACAAGAAAATTGAGAACCCCTCCAAGCATAATTATTGATATTCTGAGGGCCTCTTTGCAAATCTTATACACCAAGAGTCACAGCCCAGTGAGACACTAGCTTAAGGTTTTACGTATCAGGACATTCATTTATGTACCTTAGCACTGAGAGAAGGTGTATTTACTTTTTTTCTATGACTGAGTAACACAATCTGTTACGTGCCCTGAAGTTATCCAAGACAATGTCCTCAACAGTCGATGTTTGGCGTCCATGTGATCCATGTCTCGCTGATGGAGAGGCATTCGTTCTGCTGAGAACATGAGTCCTTTTGTTCCTGAGTATGACTCACCACAGTCCAACTAGTCGCACATGCTGTGCTTTTCAGGTCCCTTTAAGAACTTAATGTCAACACTTGTGCTCACAGCCTTCAACTGAAAAAATAAAACAGAAATTAAGGTTTTTGTTTAACAAGCTTCAAGAACAAAATGAGCTGCAGGTGAAAAAGATATCCAAGACAAGTGCATACACTAAATATATTGAAAGTCGGCATAAGATTTTTTTTAATAGAAGGGCTTAAAGATACAACTTTTTTGTTTATCAAAGGCAAAAGTTAGAAATGAAAAGGCTATTTACATGTTTACTTTATGATGCTTAATTTGGCCCATTTTATTTAAATTCTGTTGCCCCCACAAATAAATCAGTCCTTAAAAGGATAGTTTAGATTTTTCTCTTCTGTCATTTCAGTGGAAAATTTGGTTAGTAATCTTGCCAGCAGATGGCAGTCAGCACAGTCAAAGCTTAGACAAAAGTAAATTGAACTTTAGTCTACTTTCAAATGGATTTTAAAACAATTTCAAAATGTGTAATTCAGTTTAAGATACCCGCTGTTGACAACCCCACAGAACTTCATTTAAAAAATCCAAAATATTCATTTGAGCAGACAAAACTCAAAATAAGCAGAACACCCCCAAAATTAGGATAAATTGTTGGTATTTTGCTATATTTTAACCTCAAGTGTCAAGAGAATAAACTACAACTACATAAAAAACATACAGTTTGAATTAAATCAGCCACACAAAAAACAACTTTATTTTTTTAGCAACTGTGCTAATTAGCTTGCTTACTAACTATCTAACAAAGTGATCTATTTTCTTTTTTCAAAAGAGCATTGTAATTTATTAAATTAATATAAAATGGTGAGTATTTAAAAAACCGTTGACAAAAAATTTAAATAGCACATAACAGAGAAAACATATTAATTCAAATTTAATTTGACCAATTAGCATTAGCGTGTTTCACACATGTTGGCAAGAAACATTTTTTAAAATGTGCTACTTTGGATGCAAACAGGTCTGTCCTTATCTGGTGTATTTCTGTTTTGATTTTTTTTAATGATGGTTTGTTTTTCTTTTAGGACCAATGCAACATAATTTGGATTTAAAAGTTTCCTGCTCGAGTAGGTTGTGGTGTTTCACACAAAATTACCAGTAAGTTGAAGACAAATTATTCCAATTTACCATACAGTTAAATTTACTTTTTATTAGGAACACTCCCAATAAAACAAAGTTACAATGTCAATATTGAAGTCAAAATGATTTGAAAACAACTCCAAATTATTCACAGAAAAAGTTGGTTTGTTGTTTCGAAGGCTAAACAAGGTAGTGAACCGCTCCATGCTCCTGAACCAGACTCTTTTTGTTCAGGTTTTTATTATTAGTGCATTCATTTGCTGGTTATTGTAATTTACTCACTTTTATAGAGTTAACTACAACAAAACTTGCCATATTTTATTTGGCAGCATGATGGATGTAGTGTTGTAGAAGTGTTTAGCACTCTGACCTCGCAGCATGTCCTGAGTTCAAGCTCAGGTAGGAGTTTCTGGTTTTTCTGTGTGAAGTTTACATGTTTGACTGCACCTCAGACTGAGGACATTTCTGTTTTACAGAGCCTATGTACCCCCAACTCCCATACACCCATCCCTATGTTTCCCTGTTGTTTTTCAGTACCTTCCCTGGACACCCATTCCTGTGTTATCTGGTTCTTATGTTATCCATTACCTATGTTCCTTAGTACCTACATATGTTCCCCAGTGCCTATGTTCCCGGGTACCTATGTTCCCCAGTATCTATGTTCTCCAGATCCCTATGTACCCCACTGGTACACCCATACCTAGGTTGCCTGGTACATATGTTCTCTGGATCCATATGTTTCCCGGTACACACATTCMTGTTTCCTGGTACCTATGTACCCTAGTGCCCCAGTACCAATATTCCCCAGTACTTATGCTTGCAGTATCTTTGTTCTCTGGTTCCATTGTTCCCAAGTACTCCAGTACCTATGTTCTCCAAATCCCTGTGTACTCCCCTGGTACACCCATTCCTATGTTTCTCAATGTTTATCTTCCCTAGTACCTATGTTTCCAAGATTCCTAAGTACCCATTCAGTACATTCATCCCTGTGTTCCTTGGTATCTTTCAAGACTCATTATTATCCCAGGAGAACATAGGTATGAATCCCCCTGGACTGGCTCAAATCAAATATTTTAATTTGTTGTTAAGCAGTGAACATGTACCTATTACCAAAAAATAAAAATGGAACAAATAGTCCAGTTCAGGAGCACCATGAGTTCACTTCTGGCCTTATTCTTGAAAAAATACTTATGTTTGTACATTGCAACTTTCCTCTTTTTTTTTCCAGAAACAACATTTCTACTTGGGTAACCTAGTAGAAACAGTAATTAGAGCTGTTGCTTGGTCACAGCTGAGTGAGCAAAGCGTAAAATTCACTTAAGTCCTATTTATGTATGTACAGAATGTAACATGTCATTCAGTTTTGTCTTTTCACTTTGTGGGGTAAAATATTCTTGTCAAAATATTCTTGGTTGGCTTTTTCAGGGCTTTCTTTAATAATAACCTTAACCATTTTTTTTCAAGAAGAAACAATAGCATTTGAAGGGTATAAAATGGTAATATTTTAAAAAGATTCAAAGCTAAACTATTATTAGATTTGCAGCATTATTGGTGACCWGTTTTCTCCACAAAATTTAAAATCCAACAACCATTCCTAATACCTTTTTTTCCAAATTCCAATACAAACAAAGTGTTCTCCTGTACTTTAAGCAATGATTGACATATAMATGGTCGGTATTCAGAACTAGAGGAGTCTGTCGTTTTCTGTTTAGGAAAACATCATGCAAACTGCAGCAGCATACATGATAAAAGAAGCAAAGCACCCGCTCTCCTGTTTGAAGTAGTTTCTTCATGATCAAACAGTTTTTTAGGCCTTGGCAACAGGAAAGGGTTTCTGTTGCAGCCTTGCATTCATTAAAAGTGCCTGAATTAGATTGCTGGATATGGTTGTTGTTCTTCAAGCACAGATGTTTGATTTTACTTTTCTACTCGATTAGGTCCAAACCCCCTCTTTCCTCTCTCTCTCTCACATGAACTCCGACTCCAAAAACCAGAAAAGTGATGATTATGTTGAAGCGGCGACTCCTTTCACCACTGGTTCTCTGTTCAGGTATGTGGCCCAGTAGACGAGGTTGAAGGTTCCAAAGAGGACGGGGAACACTATCCGCGACATCTTGTCGATCTTGCTTACRCTGTTGTAGGTCTTCTTGTGGTCTACCATTTTACTCTCTGAGGCTCTGAGCTGCACTGATGTGTTGGAGATGGTGGAGATGGACACGTCCTTAGTGAGGTTGGGGGTGTAGTTGACGCCTGCTGAGCAAACGTTGTTCGGCTTCTTGGACAGCACCATCGGGTCTCGTTTCTACAACAGTACAGAGAACCACAAACATTGGATTAGCTTCAAGTCCATTCAGGTGTGAGTTACTCAATAACTTTCAGTGTAAGATATATCAGCGTCCTTGAATCTGTCATGGATGATTAGTGGTTCTATTGAGGAGAAACGGTTCTGGCAAAATGTGAGCGGCTGTGTAATTAAATTTCCCTCAGTTGACAGCAGTTGGATTTTTACTTATGATGATGAGTACATTGTTTAGAGCAGCTGCTAACTTAAGCAAAACAAATCAGTTATCTTGGGCGTCTTTGGTAATATGAGTTGTTTTTATTAATGCTAATTACACAGTGCAACCAATGGCTCCATTTTTCAAGCTGCATCTATTGGTTATAATAACTGATTACAATCATTATTAAAGTAGATCTCAGACAACAAACTCTGCAAAGTTAGGTTAACCATCCTATACCTCGCAGATACAACTACAACTTCATATAGGTGGAGTTGTTGGCGCTGTTTTCTTAAACTTACATAAAGCATTAGATATAGTTCATCACAATGTTCTCATCGCCAAACTATCAAACTGCAATTTCTCATCCAAAGCACTTGCTTGAATCTCATATCTGTCCAAGACAATACAGGGTTAAAAATTAAAGATATATGTTCCAATTTCCCAAAGTGCACATTGGATGTATCCCAAGGATCTGTGCTATAATTCCTGCRTTTCACTCTTTACATCGATGACCCTCCACAGTTTTGTCATGATGCTGAAGTCCAATTATATGCAGATTACATGTTTTTACACATACATGGTAAAACATCCCAGCTTGCAGTTAAGAAATTCGCTGAAGCTCTGTGGTTGAGCCTTTAGTCCAATCCTGTCTCACTCTGATTGTAAATATATCCTTCTCAATAATCCTGGTAAAAAAAAATCTAACAAGGTTGAGTCAGGTTCTCTGGACAAGCTATTTTTTCTTGAAATGTTTCATGTCCTATCCAAAAGACTTCTTCAGGGCCTTATAAGCAGTACCTGCCAAGATATTCATTCATGCATCGTTTTCTCCTACATTTCATATTGTAGCACATGTAGAGGACAAGCTAGTACATCAATGATAAACCATTAGAGTCTTAAAATCTTTGACAAAAAGACCCTTAAGACATCATGATTTTGAGATTGAACAAAAACAAAAGCTTATTTCTTTGGGAAAGCTCTAAAATTCTCAAAACATGAGAATGATGTATAAATTTTTAAATGGCTTAGTGCCAATCTGTTTGGTGCTTAATTATTTATTGGTGGTATTTAATTATTGTCTGGAAGAGCTAGATAACAATTACCCTAACCCCTAATTTACACTGTACACGGCTCTGGTCTGCTCCACCTTGCATTCGTTTCTACCCTGATTCATGCAGCCACTGATGCATGTGCAGGAAATGCGAGATTGTGCAAGAAATCTAGTGATAAATGTGGAAGTCAAACCAAATTAATTCATTCTGTGGAAGACAGACTTAAAAAAAACAGCTGAAACTTCATCAGGATTGTCTTTTTTTGAATCCATATTTCAAAATAAAATCCATACGTTTTGTGTATGCATATGCTGCCACCTGCTTCCCAAACAGAATGAAACATTTTGACAGCAGTATGTATAAATACAGTATACCCATATATTTATTACCATAGGATTTTGACAAAATGTAAATGTCTTTGGTGAATTATGTTTAAAAAATACAGATGTTGTGTGCATTCCTTTTCATGTTGAAGCAGTGTGATCTTTGTAGATTGCCTTTTCACTTGCTCCGGATGGCTGTGCACATGCTGCCGACATGCGAAAACAGTGTAAATGTTCTCATTAATTATAACTGGTGCGTTTTTGTTGTGGAGGTCAGAGCAGAACGCGGCGAGCAGAGCGGACAYAGTGTAATTTCAGTGTTCAATCAATTTTTTTTTAGCTTTCATGTTATAATGACACTCCCTCATCAAAAACCATATCCAGAGTGACTCATTCATGCATGTTTGAGAAATCCTTGAATCTCCTGTAGTAGACATGTGGAGCTGCCTAAGCACTTGCTCATACAAAGCACCGCCTGTTATACAAAGTTCCTCCCTGTAGCTCAGTCCCCAGCCGTGCCCGTCCCACAAAGCACCACTCTCCCACGCTTCCCCTACGCATCTCCAACAGACTAGCAGCAGGAGAAATATTTATTTACAAAACACTATAATTTCATTGCAAAATGTATCTTAAAAATGGTGGATGTTCACGATTTCATTGCAAAACATAGCTTCATAATGATCTATATTTATAGTTTCTTTGCAAAAATTAGCATAACATTGACATATACTGTATGTTTGAGAGGATGACTGGGAGATACTGTATATTATCCTGAGTTGCCATTTTCCAAAACCTATACTATGTAATGTTACTTATTTTTATTTATTTTTTAAAACAAAATACAACACTTCTATGAAAGGTTGTAAACCACGATAAGCATTTTTGTGAAGACGTGCTGAAGTGGGCGTGTCAGAAATTGTAAGAGGTTCTTAGAAACACGGAGGCCAATTTCAAGGCRTTTATATAATGATAGGAAGTCAAAAAATGTTTAGATACAGTGTTTTCATAACAACTGAAGATAAAGTAGTTACTTGACTGTGGTATAGTATTAAATCCTGTGCCTGGAAAATACATATAACCCCCCTTTTAAATAAAGTGAATTGTAATTAGCACCAAAAACCACGAGTTACCTTGGGGTGCTGTGCTTCCAGAGCTTTTTTGCCATCCCAAGCCCAGCTTCTCTTGGTGAAGTAGTTCACCGTGGCAAACTCGATGAGGGCGGAAAAGACGAAAGCGTAGCAGACAGCGATGAACCAATCCATGGCGGTCGCGTAGGCCACTTTGGGAAGTGAGTTCCTGGCACTGATGCTGAGTGTGGTCATAGTCAGCACAGTGGTCACACCTGTGAGTAAACAAAAGACATGATGAGCTTAGATTGAGTTTGACAAACTAAACTGAAACAAGTGGCTGTCACTCATCATTCTACTGTAAGGCAGCACGAGTGTGTACAGATTTACCATAAAGAAGATACAACATGACTCACTACGTGAAATTGGGTCAGAGCTAGACTTTGTCGCAAGGGGTGGCCAATGGGATTTTTAGGGAGTCACATACAAATAAAAATAACCACCCAAGGTTTGAAAAGGTTAGAAAGAAAGAAAGTTAGAAAAGGTAGATATCTGAAAATCATCTACATTTCAAGATTGAAAAAKAATAAAAATAAATTTAAACTTTAAACCAGTATCTTACTGGACTATGACTATTGGAGACTGGTTGTGTGCATGGTCTAGAATATTTCTCCGCCTGAGGTAAAGACCCAGGTGGACCCAGATATTTGTGTGTCTTGTTCCTGAGTGATAGTAGGATAAAGCTAGAGCAGATCCATGAATCGGTGCCTTGTTCTCAGTAATGAGGGCATTGCTTCGGTCAGTCGTGGTAAAAATAGGAGAGTCAAAAAGGAAAGATCTAGTTTACTAGCCCGTATACTTTCCAACCCTCACCTGCGGTCATGTGGTAAAGATCTTGACCGACAAGCTGCCAAAATTATCTTCCTTTGTAGGGTGGCATCTGGGTGGAACTCGAAGTAGAGCTGCTGCTCCTTTGCATCAAAAGAGCTCTGTTGAGGTGGTTCATCTTATAGGACACCTCGCATTGAAGATTTTCCAAATATGTCCCACTGGGAAGAGACCCCGAGGCAGACCCAAAACTCACTTGAAAGATTATGTATCCTCTCTGCTAAGGGAACCCTCAGGAGGAACTGGTGAGTGTGGCTTGGGTAGAGGTAGTCCTGGGTTGGACTCCTGGACCTGTTCAGTGAGGCCATAACTTAAAAACACCCTATTTTCTTACAATTTAGGATCGTCAACCGCTCTCCAACAGTCACAATCCAGCTAAAACGTGTAAGAATATGTTTGTAGGATTAGGGGCAGGAAACCGGTCCAGTTCTCAGACTTAAAAATTTATTTACACACATATAAAGGTTTTTACAACGCTGTGGGCCCCCTGTGTGCGTGTAGACAAAATGGCCCCAATTCCACCCAAGTTTTCACAGCGAGCCTAGTCCCACACTAGATATGATGTCATACCTCCAACACAAGGAAGTGAGTTATAGAAACTAACACTTTTGGTTCTCTAACTGTTAAAGTAAATTACTGAAGCTGATCACAAAGTATAGGACAAAAGACTATCTAAAATTTAGTTAATTAGTCACAAAATTTCCTTCACTGTCTTAAACAGCTTTTACTCACCGAACACAGTTCTTGCAGGAACCGATTCTCGATTAAGCCAAAACGATACCTGGGAGAGGATTACTGTCATGAAGCATGGCATGTAGGTCTGGATGACAAAATATCCAATCTTCCTCTTCAGGTAGAAGTGGGCCATCATTACTGTGTACTGTCCTGAGGATGAAAAAGAGATGGGGGAAAGGGATAAAACATCAAGACCTGACTGTAAAAATCAACATTATTTAAAAGCGGGGATTGCTGTAGGATAAGGAACATTCAGAACATTTTTAAGACTGGAAATAAATTTTAATTGAGTGTAATATTATGGACCTTGATTTGGTAGTTAAAAAACTATGTGCAGCTTTAATGGAACTGAGATAATGTGATATTCCTTTTATTTTGATAATAACACAATAAGAAAGTCCAGAACAGACAGGAAGGAATAGTGGGGGGG